CCTGTCCCTGTGTGCCCACCCCAGCTAACGGAGCCTCTCTGCCTCCCCACACCCACAGATCGTGTATGAGGGCCCGGAGCTGAACCACGCCTTTGGGCTGTGCCACTACAGCAATTTTCTGTTCTGGACCGAGTACCGCAGTGGCAGCATCTACCGGCTGGACCAGGCCTCCAAGGCCGTGAGCCTGCTCCGCAACGAGCGCCCGCCCATCTTCGAGATCCGCATGTACGACGCACAGCAGCAGCAAGGTGAGAGGGCACGAGGGGCTGGGCTTGGAAGGATGGGGCTGGGGGGGTGATCTGAGCTGCCTAAGCATCCCCCTCACCACTTTTTGCTTCTTTTTAGCGGTCCCCATGCTCTTTGTTTTAATTTCCTGTCGCTCGTGCTCTGCTCTTCCAGCCTTCCCTCTTTTTCCCACCCTAATTCCATCAGGCTCTGTGTCCCTGTGGCCTCACCTGGGCTCTCCGGCTGGCTTCCAGCTGTGGCTGCTGTTGAGGGAGTCCAGCTGAGGGTTCCCAGCACCCCCGTGGGTCTGCAGGGCTCCCTGGGCACTGAGGTGCCATCTCCTCACCCCTTTGCCTCCGCAGTGGGCTCCAACAAATGCCGTGTCAACAACGGGGGCTGCAGCAGCCTGTGCCTGGCCACCCCCCGGGGCCGCCAGTGCGCCTGTGCCGAGGACCAGATCCTGGGGCTGGACTCTGTCACCTGCCAGGGTAGGCTGCCCTGGGACCCTCTTGGGGACTCTTTCCCCATGGGAAGCTGCGTTTGGTCACCTGTTTAAAATCCTGCCTGTGCTTTCCCCTTGGCAGCCAATCCTTCCTACATCCCCCCGCCGCAGTGCCAGCCCGGGGAGTTCGCCTGCAAGAACAACCGCTGCATCCAGGAGCGCTGGAAATGCGACGGGGACAACGACTGCCTGGACAACAGCGACGAGGCCCCCGAGCTCTGCCGTGCGTGACCCCTCCTGCGGGGTGGGATTTGGGCTGGGGTTCCCCCAGAAGTGGGGGCAGTGGTTGGGGAAGGGTTGGGTAGCCAGGACCCCTCTGTCCCCTCTCCAGCTCAAGGACTTACAGGAGGAAAATGTTGATTGACGTTCTGATCCTAAATTTGAAGCTCCAGCCCTTTTCTCTCCCAGTTTTTCTCTTTGTTGGACATGGAGGAGGGATGGGGTGGGATGAGGGGTGGTCCTGAGTGTGGTTCCCCTCCACAGACCAGCACACCTGCCCTTCGGACCGCTTCAAGTGCAAGAACAACCGCTGCATCCCCAACCGCTGGCTCTGTGATGGGGACAACGACTGCGGGAACAACGAGGACGAGTCCAACTCCACCTGCTCAGGTGAGGACCCTGCCTTGTCCTCAGGGAATCTGTGCTGAGCCACTGCCTGAGGTTTTGTGTCTCACATGTGCCTGCACCTTGGCTTTGCACCTGGGCCTCGCCAGGAGCCCAGGGGGTTGTTCCCCACCTTCCCCTGGCAATGCAAGGTACCATGGGCCATTAACACTCCACCTGTCCCTCCTGGCCAGCCCGGACCTGCTCCCCCAACCAGTTCTCCTGCGCCAGTGGCCGCTGCATCCCCATCTCCTGGACGTGTGACCTGGATGATGACTGCGGGGACCGCTCTGACGAGTCTGCCTCGTGTGGTGAGCTGGGACTGGGAGCACTGGGAGCACTGGGAGCACTGGGAGCACTAGGTGCTCCCCGGGGCTGTGAGGGTTGGGGTGCACACGAGGTGTCCCCCGTGCTGACGGTGCCTCTGCCTCCTCCTCCTCAGCCTACCCGACCTGCTTCCCCCTGACACAGTTCACCTGCAACAACGGGCGCTGCATCAACATCAACTGGCGCTGTGACAACGGTGAGGACCCGGCCCCGTAGTGCTCCCGAGGGGATGGCGAGACCCGAGGCGAGGGTGCAGCCTGGCAGGGACCCCATTTTGGCAATTAGGGCCAGTTCTCATCATGTGCTGAAGGGCAGAGCCCAGGCTCCAAGGGGAGTGGCATGAGCCAAAGCTGAGCCCTTCCTGCAGCCCCCAGCCCCGTATTTCCCTTGGCTGTGCTGGGGCAGGGAGAGCTGCAGGAATAACCTGGCAGGAATTGTTCCAGACCTTGGCATCCTTTGCAAGGTTTCCAAAACTCTGTCCTGGTGCTGGAACCAAGTGTAGCATGGCCAGAGCTGCTGGAGGGGCTGAGCCAGGTCCTTCAGCCCCAGGGAAAGCAGGAGAGCTCTCCCAGCCAGCTCCCATCGGCCCTTGGATCTTTGCAGGGCCAGACCCGGGACAGAGGGTTTGCCCCAAGGTTGTTTTCCTTTCCCACAAGTTTATTTCAGTCTTTGAGCCGCTCTGCCTTGTTAGGGATAATTAGTGTCTTCAGAGCAGGCGAGACACTGGTGCCTGGCTGAGCAGAGCTCTGGATGCAGGACTCTCCCTGGATTCTTCCTGAGCTCCCTTGGAGCTGGCCCTGTCAAGGGATCCTTCTCCCGGGATCCCCCACTGTGACAGCCAGGCTGTGGCGTGGAGTCCCTGGTGCAGCCCTGAGCCTCGCCAGGTGCCTGGGGCAGGAGCTGCAGCACCACGAGGGTGCCCTCACCCTGGCTGCCCTGCTCCCCCAGCGCCCTCCCCTGCTTCTGGTCTCGCCTCCCAGGCTGCCTGGTGCCTCTGTGTGTCCGTGTGTCTGTGTCCGTGTGTCTGTGTCTGTGTCCCGGTGTCTCTGTGCCACCTGCTGTGCGTGTGCCGTGTTTGTCACTGTGCTGTGTTGTGTTTGTCACTGTGCCCACGCTCCTGTCTGGTGGTTCTGTGTTTCAGAAAAAGATTGTGGGGATGGCTCTGACGAAAAGAACTGTCCAAAGCCTACCGGTTAGTGCATAGATCAACATGCACCAGACCCCCACCTGGCCCCCCCAGCCCCCAGCCCTGCCCCTCCAGAGGGCTGTGAGCCCCGGGGGCTGCTGCTCTGGACACTGGCAATGCCCCCCGGCCTCTCTGGCAACAACCCCAGTGCCTCTGGCAATGCCCCTGGTGCCCTCCTCCTCTCTGGCAATGCCCCCTGTGCCTCTGGCAATGTCCCCCAGCTCTCTAGCAATGTCCCCCATGCTCTCCAGCAGCAGGAGGGATGTGCCATTGCCAGGGAGTCGCTGTTCCTGCCAGCTCACAGAGCAGAGCCGCTTGGGAATCTGCTCTCGGTGGGAGCCTGGAGAGGTCAGGGGGTTGCAGGTGCAGGAGCTGAGCTGCTGGAGAGGCCACGTGTCAGCTGGCAATGCCATCATCCCCATCAGTGCCATCGTCCCCATCAGTGCCACTGTCCCTATCAGTGCCTTCATCCCCATCATTACCATTGTCTCCATCAGTGCCGTTATCTCCATCATTGTCACCATACCCATCATTGTCACCATCCCCATCAGTGCCATCATCCCCATCAGTGCCATCATCCCCATCAGTGCCATCATCTCCATCAGTGCCATCATCCTTGTGCCCATCCTGAGGCACCAGGAAGTGAATCCCCTTGACCAGTCTCGGGTGGGGCATCCACAGTGGAGCCCTGTGGTGGTCCCAGACCAGGCCCCCCATGCCAGGCAGGCAGAGGGGCTTCATTGCCAGTGTCCAGGTATCCTCAGACCAAAACTCCCCCACATCAAGCATGGGGTTTTCCTCCAGGCGATCTGACCCCCTCTAATTGGCTGCCTCAGCCCCACTCCCCATGGGTGCACCCCCAAAGGAGCACCCGTCCCCCAGCCCCGCTCCCCCCAGAGTGAAGCCCCCCGTGGCTCCAGGGCCCAGGGCCCCCCAGGTTCATGGCTGATCTATGCAGTTTCTGTGTTTCATTTTCTCTGTGTGCTGCTGATGCTGTGGGGTGGGAGGGCCGGGGGTCTCCAGCCCGTGGTGGAGAGGGGCTGCTGTCACCCCACGTCCCGTCTGCCGGCGTGACCTGTCCGGTCCCTGTTGTTCCCTGCTTCCCCCAGCGAGGGGTCTCTGCTGTCCTCCCTCCTGCCAGCCCCTCCTGGCCGGGCACCTGCTGACCTCCTGCCCACCCCCCTTCCCTCTCCAGACAACGACTGCGGGGACAACAGTGACGAGGCCGGCTGCAGCCACTCCTGCTCCAGCAACCAGTTCAAGTGCAACAGCGGGCGCTGCATCCCCGTGCACTGGACCTGTGACGGGGACAACGACTGCGGCGACTACAGCGACGAGACCCACGCCAACTGCACCAACCAGGGTGAGCCCCAGCACACAGAAGGGACCCCCAACCGAGGCATTGCCCAAAGAGCCAAACCCTGCCCCGGGTAGAGCCGCCCTGCTTCTCGGCAGGGAATTCTGCAGCCTTCTCGGTGCCCAGATCCCCCTCCCGTGCCTCTGGGTGGCTCCAGCTGTTTCCCTGCTGGCTGAGTGCCTGGTCCCTGCCCAGTCCTGCAGCCCCCCAGCTCCATGGGGTGCAGGCAGTGAGCAGTGCCCTCCCCACAGCCACGCGCCCGCCCGGGGGCTGCCACACGGACGAGTTCCAGTGCCGGCTGGACGGGCTGTGCATCCCCATGCGCTGGCGCTGTGACGGTGACACGGACTGCATGGACTCCAGCGACGAGAAGAACTGCGAGGGGGTCACCCACGTCTGTGACCCCAATGTCAAATTCGGCTGCAAGGACTCAGGTGAGAGCAGGGGATCCCACCTGGGGGTGCTGGACTGTCCTTGGTGCCGGGATAATGAGGGAACACAAGAGGCCAGCCCGTGAACCATGATCCTGATGGATGTGTCATCCTCAGATCCCTTCTCCCCTTCTCTGAGGAAGGGACTGGACCCACTTTGATGGGGTGGGGACAAGGGTGGAGGGACACCAGTTCTGGGACTTGACCCTCTGTTTCCCCAGGCCCTTCCCTGACCTGTCCTATCTGGGCCAGCTCTGGTCCAACTTTTGGGGAGCCCTGAGCTACTCAAACACCCCTATGCCCCCACGCATGGGAAAACATCTGGAAATGCCTGGAATAACGTCCCTTCTGGCTCTGCTCTTCCCCCTCCCCATCAGCCCGGTGCATCAGCAAGGCGTGGGTCTGTGACGGGGACAGCGACTGCGAGGACAACTCTGATGAGGAGAACTGCGAGTCCCTGGTGTGCAAACCCCCCTCGCACACCTGTGCCAACAACACCTCCATCTGCCTGCCCCCCGAGAAGCTCTGCGACGGCTCCGACGACTGCGGTGACGGCTCCGATGAGGGCGAGCTCTGCGGTGAGCGCGGGGCCGGGGTGGGGACACGGGGTGACCCGGCAGTGGGGACACGGGGTGACCCAGGAGAGCGACGAGGAGGTGACGAGCATGTCCTCTGTCCCCACAGACCAGTGTTCGCTCAACAACGGCGGCTGCAGCCACAACTGCACAGTGGCCCCTGGCGAGGGCATCGTGTGCTCCTGTCCCCTGGGCATGGAGCTGGGTGCCGACAACAAGACCTGCCAGATCCAGAGCTACTGTGCCAAGCACCTCAAGTGCAGCCAGAAGTGCGAGCAGGACAAGTACAATGTCAAGTGCTCCTGCTACGAGGGCTGGATGCTGGAGCCCGACGGCGAGAGCTGCCGCAGCCTGGGTGTGTTTTGGGGAGCACCAGGGACTGGTAGCAGCCCCCCAGCTGCCTCAGGGGGGGTTTTCCTCTCGTGGAGCTGGGGGTTATGCTGGGTGCTGGTGGGATCTGTGTTCTAGCAGTGTAGCTGGGGCTGGGTGCACTGTCCCCTGCCTTGTCCGTGCCCCTCTGACCCTGCCCTACTGTCCCCAGACCCCTTCAAGCCGTTCATCATCTTCTCCAATCGCCACGAGATCCGGCGCATCGACCTGCACCGAGGGGATTACAGCGTCCTGGTGCCTGGGCTGCGCAACACCATCGCCCTGGACTTCCACCTCAACCAGAGCTCCCTGTACTGGACAGACGTGGTGGAGGACAAGATCTACAGGGGAAAGCTGCTGGAGAATGGAGGTGTGGAGCCTGGGGGCGGGGGGGCTGGTTGGAGGGAAAGCAGGGGTGCAGGTTTGGGGTCAGTGATTCCTTGGCACCCCACGGTGATGCTGCAGCTGAAGCCCACAGCCCTGATAGTGATTCTATTCTGCTCTCATTATGCAGTAGTTAATTAGCATTCCCAGCGCTTCCCTGCTGGTAATTGCAGCCCAGCAGCTGGGCACAGAGAGGACACCCTCCCCATCAGTGCTGCTCCTGCAGGAGCCCAGGGGCAGCGCTGGGGATGTGGGGCTGAGCCCTTTGGGGCCTGGGTCATGGATGGATGCTGAGCCCTTTGGGATCTGACAATGGATAGGGGCTGCTGAGCTCTTTGGGGTCTGACAATTGATAGGGGGTGCTGAGCCCTTTGGGGTCTGGACTATGAAGAGGGGGTACTGAGCTCTTTGGGGTCTGACAATGGATAGGGGGTGCTGAGCTCTTTGGGGTCTGGACTATGGATAGGGGATGCTGTGCTCTTTGGGGTCTGGACTATGGACAGGAATGGTTCAAGCCCTGTTTGGGGACGACACATCCCCACAATCAACCCCAGGTGAGCAGGGTGGAGCTGTTGAGGACACAGGAGTGGTGGTGCTGGGTGTGCTGGGGAAGAGGCACCATCCTGAGCCCTCACTTTGTGCCCCACAGCTCTGACCAGCTTCGAGGTGGTGATACAGTACGGCCTGGCCACCCCTGAGGGACTGGCCGTGGACTGGATCGCTGGCAACATCTACTGGGTGGAGAGCAACCTGGACCAGATCGAGGTGGCCAAGCTGGATGGCACCATGAGGACCACGCTGCTGGCTGGGGACATCGAGCACCCCCGCGCCATCGCCCTGGACCCTCGCTATGGGTGAGGCAGGAGGGGACAGTGCTCACAGGGATCATCCTGGGGGGATCTTGTGGGGGGACGAGGCCATGGGCTCCTGTCCTTGCTCACAGTCCCTCCTGGCAGGATCCTGTTCTGGACGGACTGGGATGCCAGCCTGCCCCGCATCGAGGCTGCCTCCATGAGCGGCGCGGGCCGGCGCACCATCCACAAGGAGACGGGCTCGGGGGGGTGGCCCAACGGGCTCACTGTCGACTACCTGGAGAAGAGGATCCTCTGGATCGATGCCAGGTAGGCCAGGACACCTCTCTCTGTGTCCTCGTCTCTGTCCCTCCCAGTCTGGATCTTCCCCTCCCTCCAGAGTTTTGCTGGGCTGGGAATGAGAAGCCTTTGCACTGTAGGGTTTGTTTGGCACGTGCCAGCCCTTGCTCTGGGTTTTCTCCTCTGTGGATCTCTGGTGTAAGTCAGCAGCCATCCCACGGCTGCTTAGACCCTGCTGGTTGTTGCTGTTGGTTGCACAACCCCGTGGTGTCCCCTCCTCACTTCCCTCACCCTCATCTCCCCCCGGCACAGGTCGGACGCCATCTACTCAGCCCTGTATGATGGGACAGGGCACATTGAGGTGCTGAGGGGACACGAGTACCTGTCCCACCCCTTTGCTGTCACCCTCTACGGGGGGGAGGTGTACTGGACCGACTGGCGCACCAACACCTTGGCCAAGGCCAACAAGTGGACGGGGCACAACGTGACCGTGGTGCAGAGGACCAACACTCAGCCCTTCGACCTGCAGGTGTATCACCCCTCCCGGCAGCCCCTGGGTGAGGCTGGGGGAGTGCAGGTGGGGGGAAGGGCTGGGGGGACCATGGAGGGTGGCACTGGCACTTGGTCTGTGCCCACACCCACTTGGAGCAGCAGGCGGATGCTGCTCTCATCCCTGTGGCTGCCCCTTAGCTCATCAGGTGGTGAGGGTGATGCTTGGATGGGGCAGGCAGGGTCTGGGGGGGCTGCAGCTCTTGGGGCCTCCTGGGTGGGTGTCCCCAAGGGCTGGGATGTCGCTGAGTCCTGTCCCCTTTGCAGCTCCTAATCCCTGTGAAGCCAACGGGGGCAAAGGACCGTGTTCCCACCTCTGCCTCATCAACTACAACCGCACCTTGTCCTGTGCCTGCCCCCACCTCATGAAACTGGACAAGGACAACACCACCTGCTATGGTAGGGGTCTGCCCGGGGAGCTGGGGGGATGAATGGCTGCTCTGGAGCTGAGATCCCACCGCTGCCCTTCTCCTCCCAGAGTTTAAGAAGTTCCTGCTGTACGCGCGGCAGATGGAGATCCGGGGCGTGGACATCGACAACCCCTACTACAATTACATCATCTCCTTCACCGTGCCCGACATCGACAACGTCACCGTGGTGGACTACGACGCTCTGGAGCAGCGCATTTACTGGTCAGATGTCCGCACCCAGACCATCAAGAGAGCCTTCATCAACGGCACTGGCGTGGAGACCGTTGTCTCTGCAGGTTGGTGTGGGGGACCATCACTCCCAGAGCTGGGACCCCCAGCCCTCCAGAGCCTTCAGCTCCCTGAGATCGGCCCTTCCTCTTCATCTGAGCATCATCCCAGCCCCGTCCTCACAGCTGATGAGCTCCTGTCTCTGTTGCCTTGCAGACCTGCCCAATGCTCACGGCCTCTCCGTGGATTGGGTTTCCAGAAACCTCTTCTGGACCAGCTATGACGCCAACAAGAAGCAGATCAACGTGGCCAGGCTGGATGGCTCCTTCAAGAACGCTGTGATCCAGGGGCTGGACAAGCCTCACTGCCTGGTGGTGCACCCACTCCGGGGGTGAGTCTGGTGGTGCTGATGGCAAGGAGGTGTGTGCAGGCACAGGGTTGTGTGTGTGACAGTGCACACGTGTGATGGGGGACAGAACAGGGGCTGTCTCTGTGTGTCAGCGTGTAGGAACAGTGTCACAGGAGGTGGGGTTGTGCTGTGTGTCTGTACACACGTGTGCAAAGGGGCTGTGATAAGTGTGCACCCACCAGTGTGTGCCAATCCAGGTGTGCACGGGGCTTTGGCAACCCCTAAGCCCCGTCCTGGGGGTGGGACAAGGGGCTGTGGGGCTGCCCAGCCTGTGCCACAAGCAGGTGAGGAGCTCTGCAAGGATGGGAAGGTGCAGGGGGCTGCTGGCACCATGGCCCCTCACCCATTGTGCCCTCACCTTGCAGGAAGCTGTACTGGACAGATGGGGACAACATCAGTGTGGCCAACATGGACGGCAGCAACCGCACGCTCCTCTTTACCAACCAGAAGGGACCTGTTGGTACGGACCCCTCCATGGTCCCTGGGATCCCCCACCTCGCCTTGCTGTCCTGCAGAGCCTTGAGTCCCCACTCAGGCTCTTTGGGGGGATGGCAGCTCTCCTGTTCTGGGTCACCATGACCTTACCTGCCTGTTCTCTCCATCCCATCCCATCCCATCCCATCCCATCCCATCCCATCCCATCCCATCCCATCCCACCTCACCTCCCACTCTGTGATGGTCCCTGTGTGCCACCAGCTTGGTGACATTCCTGTCCCTTCCAGGTCTGGCCATTGACTACCCAGAGAGCAAACTGTACTGGATCAGCTCTGGCAATGGCACCATCAACAGGTGTGACCTGGATGGCAGCAACCTGGAGGTGATCGAGTCCCTGCGGGGCCAGCTGAGCAAGGCCACCGCCCTGGCCATCATGGGTGAGGGCTGCCAAAGGGGGACACCTTTCCCTGTCTCCTGGCCCTTCCCAAACTCTCCTGCCCACCTCTCCCACCTCAGCTGAAAGGGAGGGGATGGGGAACGCTGCCACATGCTCCTGCCTTCTCCCCACAGGGAACAAGCTGTGGTGGGCTGACCAGGCCTCCGAGAGGATGGGCACCTGCAACAAGAAGGACGGGACGGAGGTGACGGTGCTGCGCAACAGCACCACGCTGGTGATGCACATGAAGGTGTATGATGAGAGCATCCAGCAAGGTCAGTGTGGGGTCCTGGGGAAGAGACCTCATGGGGCTGGGCAGCTGCTCGGCCCCTCCAGGTGGTTCCATCCCTGGCAGTGGGCACAAGTCTTGCCCTTGTGCCAAGTGGGTGCAGGGCACTCACGCCTCATGTTGGTGCTGCCCTGGCTGCCCTAGCCCTGGTGGGTGCACCCTGGCCCCCTGATAGCCTTTCAGCCACTTTTCTCTGCCACAGCTGGGACCAATCCCTGCAGCCAAAACAATGGGGACTGCTCGCAGCTGTGCCTGCCCACCTCGGAGACCTCCCGCTCCTGCATGTGCACCGCGGGCTACAGCCTCAAGAGCGGGCAGCAGTCCTGTGAAGGTGTGTGCTTGTCCCTGTCCCCTCCCTGAACCA